CATCAAAGAACCCTGAAAAAATGTACTCAACTGTTTTAAATATTACGATTAATATTAATAATAATAATAAATGTTTTTTAAGCAGCAGATCAGCATATTATACTGATTTCTGAAGATCATGTGACACTGAAGACTGGAGTAATGATGCTGAAAATACAGCTGTGCATCACAGAAATAAATTACAGCTTAACAGAGATTCACATAGAAAGCAGTTGTTTTAAATAGTAAAAATATTTCACAATATTACTGCTTTTGCTGTATTTCTGATCAAATAAAGGCATGCTTGGTGAACAGAAGAGATTTTTTAAAAAACATTAAAAAAATAATAATTATTGTGTTTCATCATGTGTTGTTATAATATAATATTACATTGCTACAGATGAAAGCGTCTGCTTCATAAGTTAAATGAGATGTATTTTTCTGACTGTTTAATTTGGTCTGAAAAGATCATTTAAATGGTCTTTTTCTTTTGCTCCTGCAGGAAGATGCTTCTAATATAACACTTTTAGGTCTGCTGCTTGATTGCAGTTTACCAAAAATGTTCTCCAATCAGCCCCAGGTAAAGAATATTACATTTACTAACCCTCGAAATGGTCTGTAACTCATCCGTTACAAATATTAATCTCACTTTGCCCACTTGAATATTTACACGTGATCAGGCCGGTTCACACCAATTCACAATTTGAATGCATCTGTTTAGAGGGACACAAATGTTTGCGTGCTGTAATTGCACATTTTTATTTTTAATTTTTTTAATGGGGTTGTGTTCTCATTTCTGCGGAGAAAACTGGCCAAGCTGTAAGATTTACACTTTTGGTATTTAGAGAGTAATAAAAGCTTTGGCCCAAGCCTGACATCCTCTGTCGTTGTTGCTGTTGCTGTTGTGTTATGTGGAAAAAAAACAACAACTTTTTTCCATTTACTGTTTAGCATAACCGTATTGTTCTCAGAAACAACTTCTGAAGTAGGGCGATATCTTGTTTTTTGTGCCATATGAAGAAATACAGGAATTTTTACCAGATAACTTGAATAGCTTTATTTAGAACGAATTAATCCTTTTAGAGGGTGCCTAGAAAATTACAAATCATTTTTAAAAAGCTTTATTATTGTATAGGAAAAGCTAGTCCTTGTTGGAAAGGCCTGGGACTCTACGCAGCTAATAATTCAGTATGGAGTTGATCGGGCTGTTAGCAGCTTTACACTCACAGACATCTGATTCTTTTAAAGTGAAACTCGCATACAATCATGTAGTGAGGTGACCGCTTCAGTTGCTTTGATTGAGCAGTTTTCTGCTGGTTGTCTGTCGAGACCGGGCACGTCTTGTTTAGTTGGAACGCTTTGCATTCCTGTGATTTGTGTTGACGGGTGTTTAGTGAGTTGATGAAATATGTTTGTGCAGTCTTTACGCGTCGCTCTCTTTCCTCTCAGGGTTGGTGTTTAGTATCTGAGGAGGGCAGGTTTGCACTTCGGATCAGTCTTTCTGAAAGAGGGGACAGACACCTGGACAAACTCAAGCCGTACGTGCTGGAGAACATTGTGGTGCTTCTAGTCCTCCCACCACCAGAAGATGCTGCCGGTTTGTCCCTTTCTGCTTTTATCCATACTTTAAAGTGATTTAGATTATAAACCTGTATTTGATTTCTGCCGCAGATGCTAGAAGTGCTCGACATGATTTTTGACTCAAATCCTCCTAGTGATATTTGTGTGAATTTTTGTACGTGTTTTGCTGGCTTTATTTATTTTTACCTTTGGTTTAGTTTTCTCTGTGATCTTTGAAGGCGTCAGCATTTGTTTATTTTTTTTATATGATACTCACTCACTCACTCACTCACTCACTCACTCACTCACTCACTCACTCACTCACTCACTCACTCACTCTCTCACACACACACACACACTCACTCACTCACTCACTCACACACAAACATACATACGCGCACACATATACCCACACACTCTCACACTCACACACTCAACTCACTCACTCACACACACAAACATACTTGTGCGCACACATGTACACACCCTCACACTCACTCACTCACTCACTCACACTCACACACACACACACACTCACTCGCGCACACACACACATACACTCACTCACTCACACTCATTCACTCACTCACTCACTCACACACACACACGCAAACAAACATACTTGTGCGCACACATACACACTCACTCACTCACTCACTCACTCACACACACACAAACATACTTGTGCGCACACATATACACACACACACACACTCACTCGCACACACACACACACACATATACACTCACACACACACTCACTCACTCACACACACACACACACACACACACACACTCACTCACACACACTCACACACACTCACTCACTCACACACACACACACACACACACTCACTCACTCACACACTCACACACACACACACACTCACTCACACACACACACACACACACACTCACTCACACACACACACACACACACACACACTCACACACACACCGA